GATGAAGTCTGGCCATTCTCCAAGGATCATTCCGGCTACACTTCCTCCAGGACAGATCTGTTCAATCTTTTGTCCATGGCACTTTCAGTACTCTTCGCCAACACCACAACTCAAAGGCATCAACTCTTCTTTGGTCTTCCTTGTTCATCGTTCACCTCTCACATGCATATGAGGCGATTGAGAACACCATGGCTTGGGTTAGGCATACCTTAGTCTTCAAATCTTCCAAAACCAAACTCACTGCCATCAAGTCAGATCTGACTCATAGTGACCCTTCCTTGGGTTTCTGAGTTGGTATCTCTATGGTGTAGACTGCCCAATCTTCCTTCTGAGGAGTGGGTTTGAACCACCAGCCTTCTGGTTAGCAGTCAAATGTCTTAGGCATTATGCACCAGAGCTCCCTCTTCAAATCTTAGTAGCTTACAAAAGCAAAGCATTTATTCCTTGATCACAACACATGTCCACCAGAGATGAACTAGAGGCCTGTCCTACACCCCTCACCCAGGACCCAGGATGATGGAGCAGCCACCATCTCAAACATCACTGGACAGTGTAACAGAAGAAAAACACCCTGGAGGGCATTCCACTGGTCAGTTAAATGCTCTGATCTGCTCACAGCTCATTGGCCAGGTCTGATGACATGGCCCCATCCAACCACCAGGGGCCAAGACCTGGAAATATTTAGTGAACAGCATTCTTCCCTTCCATACTCATGTGTCTAAAAGGCCCAGAGGGAATATAGTTTCAGGCATGGCTGGATCAGGGAGCTCAAGGGACATTGCCAGGATGTGTCTCCATCTCTCAGCTCTGCTTTCCTGTATGTTGGCTTCACCTCAGTTGGGCTCTGATGGCCCCCAGCACACCCAAGCTTAGTCCATCCTACACCTCAGCAATCCCACCTTGGGCCACTTGTCTGTCTCTGAACTGGTCCTGTGGCCAGGAAGATCCTCTACTGGCAGGTCGGGGTCCTGTAGCCACTCCAAGAGCTGTGGGTGAGCCACACCTGGATGCTGCCTGGGCCAAAGTCATGGGCATCCTCAGGGGTTAGAGAAGAGTCTCCTAACTCTTGATCTAGGTCTCTGCCAGCACAGCAAGGTGGGAAAGAGCTAGAATTGCAACTGGTATTGAGTGGCCAGAGGTCAAGTTCTGACTCCAGCCATTAATTCAGTGTGTGACCTCAGGCAGATCACTGGTCCATTCTGCACCTTCATGTGTCACATGGAGTCATCATTCCTGTGCCTTCAGATGCTATGGATAGACAAGGGCTGGGCCAGGAGTGGGATGTGCATCCAGGGAGGGCTATTGCTATCCACCCTCCTTCCTCTTGAAAGAGTCATTAGCTCTTCTGGCCTGAGCTAGGGGGACAGACAGCTGCCTTCCCCACTTGCTCCCCAGGCTGCCCCTCCCCACGGATCCATCCCCTGCTTGGTCACATGGCCCGTCCTTTACTCAAGCTCTTTCTTCTGCCTGGAATAGCAGACACATCGATTCAGTTTTCAGAGTCCAGCAAAACCAGCTCCTGCCTGAAGGTCCACACACATGCCCCCCAGCCTGAGGTTGTGATGTCCTTCTGGACTCCCATCAGGGGTGAGCTGGAGCCAGCTCAGACCGGCCCAGGAGAGCCGACTCTGCGTCTCTTCCCAATCCCACCTCTAGGGTCTTCGTGTTAGTAGCTTGAAATTGGCTGTGACGAAGCGTTTACACCATGGAAATCAGCAAATGCTATAGAATGGGCTTTCTTGAGTCCCTACTGTGTGCCAAAAGAGCCCTGGAGATGCAGTGGTTAAGCTTGGCTGCAAAAGAAAAGTTTGGCGGTCCAAACCCACCAGCTGCTCCATGGGAGAAAGAGGTGGCTGTCAGCTTCTATAAAGATTACAGCCTTGGAAAACCTTTGGGGCAGTTCTGCTCTGTTCTCTAGAGTTGCTATGCGTCAGAATGAACTCAAGGGCAACTGGTTTGGTTTACTATGTGCCAGGCTGGGGATAAAGGAGTGGAAAAGTAGACAGGGCTCCCAGGGAGCTTGTGTTTGATCTACCGTATTTGTCTCTAACACCTCCATCCATCCATCCATCCATCCGACCTTTCCTTCTTCAATCCTTCTACTGTCCTGCCCATGGTGACCCTTCAACCCCAACTAACAACTGCCCTTCTACCCATCTGTCCACCCACCCACCCATGTACCCACCTGTGGTGGTTGTGTGTCAACTCGGCTGGGCCTGGTTGAGTGGCTGGGCAGCTGGTGGTAGTTATTCCCCATGATGAGACTGGCAATCAACTCCATGGTGGGATTTACCACAAGCAGCTGAGTAGCTGCTTTGGATATGTGGTCTGCTTCCTGTATGTAAGGAGAAGCCTTGGGGAATAGTCTCTAGCTTATGGCATGCTTGGACCCTGATGTAGCCATGTCATTGTTCAGCAGCCTGCCATGCTCTGCCGACCTTGGGAACTTACAATGGACTTGAATTAATGGCCTGCTGTGTGGTTTGGTAACATCGGAACTATGCCTTTTTACTTGTCAACCTTGGACTTCTCAGCCTCAGCAGGAGCAGCTGTCTGAGTGAAGAAACACCTCTAGCTCCAGTGGGCCGGGAGCAGGAGGCAGAGCTGAAGCCCAAGGCTGATGGGCTTTCACCCAGCCCCTGGAGCCTGGCACTTTGAACTCGGACTTAAAGCCTCCAGACTGTGAGAGAATAAGCTCCTGTTTGTTAAGGTCATCCCATTTGTGGTATATATTTTTGTCAGAGCAGCACTAGGTAACCAGAACACCACCCATCTATACACCCGCCCACCCATTCATGTACTCCTGCATCCACCCACCCATCCACATGTGTACTCACTCATCCACATGGGTACCCACTCATCCACCCACCTACCCATGTACCCCCTCATCTATCCCCCGACTCATCCATTCATGTACCCACCCATTCATCCACCCATTCACATGTGTACCCATTCATCTACCCATGTATCCACCCGCCCACCCATTCGTGTACTCACACACCCCACCCACCTACCCACTCATCCCACCCCTCACCCACGCACTCACCTACACATTCACCCATCCTTCCAGATGGGCCAGCCCTTTCCCCAACTTGTCTGCACTCATGTTTATGAGCTGAGTCTCCTTCAAGGTGGAGAACTCCTACCTGGCCCGAAGGCCTGGCATCAGTCAGTCTCCAGGGGCCCCTCTCCGCCACCTGCCTCCTCCCAGCACTCTTTGTGCTGCACAGCTGAACTGGGTCACCAGGGAAGCTGGCTCGAGCAGCACCTGGACCCATTGCTCTTAGGAGAGCAGGAAACCACAGCACACCTTGGCCCAGCTGTCTCTAGGAAGATGAGGGCTGCTCACGAGCAGGGGCTGTGGTTTCACACTCATATTTCCATCTGAGTCTCGCACAGGTTAATAGTCCCATTGTGAAAAGCATCAGTGTCCTGACCTTTCCAGCTGTGCCAGGCGCCCCTTTCAATCATCGTCCCATTTTACAGAGGAGGTACAGGGCTGTCAGCAGGGGCTGACTTGTAGTGACTGTGAAGGGGGAGGCAGGCATCCCCACAGCCTGGCCTTGGGGAAGACGAGGTAGACCCTTGGATCCAGGCCCCCTTAGGGCTCCAGAGGGCAGACCAGTTGAATCAGGCTGTTGCCTAAGCTGCTTTGAAAAAAAAAAAAAGCTAAACTCACTGCCGTCGAGTCATATCCGACTCATAGCGACCCCTCCTTGGGATTCTGAGACTGTATCACTGCAGAAGTAGATTCCCCAACCTTCCTTCCTTCCAAGGAGTGGCTGGTGGGTTTGAACCACTGGCTTCAAGGGAAAACAATCTATTCTGAAAATAATAATAGTAAGGCAGTTTTTATGGTATATTCAGCATCTAAATCCAGCCCCTCTATCAAACCGATGGCAGTGAGTTGCCTTCACGATGTTGCTCAGAGGTGACTCTTTAATTCACATTCCAGCAGGTGCTAAGAGGCGGCAGGCAGCACCTCGATTGCTCCTAGATCCCCAGCACCTGCGAGATGCTGAGACGGACAGGAGCAGCCTGGGCCCCCGGGGCACTGGGAGTGCTCGGCCGGTGCTCAATAAATACTTCCTGAGTGCACAACGGGAATTCTCCACGGGGCAGCGGGAGTCAGAAGAACTCCTGGTTGGTGGGGAGCTGCCGTGAGGCAAGGCTGACTGACTTTCAGCCCGGAAACCCCCCAGTGCCCCTCTGCAGGTGGGACTGCCCCACAGGCACTGAGGCTGCTGCCACGGCTGGTTTCTCACCCCCACCCACCTCCGGCGCCCGCTCGGTGCTGGCCACAGGAGGAAGGAAGCTGACGCCGTGGAGGGTCTGCTCTGGCTGTACACAGCACACAGGTGACCCCCCTCAGTTTCTCCCTGAGGTAGGTCACGTGGGCCCCACTGTCCAGACAAGGAGACTGGAGCTCGAAGAGGATGTGGCTCAGCCAGGAGTGTCAGGATTGGGACCTAGGCCCATGGGTCCCCCAACAGTTGCTCCCCTCCCGAAGGTGGCCGTGGGCTCTCTCCATCTCCCTCCCTCAGAAGGGACTTCCTGCAGCCCCTGGCGGAGGACTGAGTGGTGTCTGTCCCAGGCAGTGCTTTGACCTCCTGGCAGCCCCTGCAGGACACCAGGGAGGCCACGTGGCTCCGAGCATGCACACTGCTCATGCTTCTGCACACAGGTGAGCTCACATGGGCAGACGCACGTGGCAGGGCAGACGCACGTGGCAAGGCAGACACACGTGGCAGGGCAACCTATGTGCAGATAACCATGGGACCGCTCCTGTAGCCACGGGCCTGCAGGCCACTCACACACGTGGACAGGCAATGTGCACCTGAGCCCTGCATTCGTGTTAGGATGCACATGCCATGCAGTGAACACCAGGCTCGGGTGCCAGTCACGAGACCAGATTGCCGGGCTTTCCTTGTCCCAGCCCAGACAACCTGTCTCTGGCTTGTGGCCGTGGCTGGGCTAGCTCTGGATGGCCCGCCACCTCCCTAGCTGGCCTGGGGCCCAGGTACTGAAGGTGGAGGGGCCATGACCACCCACTGGCGCAGGTAGCTCCTGGGTGGGTCCTCATCCCTGGGACTGGTAAAGCCACACTCCACAGGGCTGCCACAGTCAGAGCCCGCAAAGCCACTGTCGAACGTGTCCATGTCCAGGGCAGCTGGAGGTGAGCCTGCCTCGCTGTCGAAGATCCCACCGGGTAGACCATCACCCCAGGGTGGTTCAGGGGCCCAGCCCGCGGTAGCTGCCAGGGGTAGGGTCAGCCTGTCAAGGAGGCTTCCCAGAGGGCCTCCCAGCCCAGGAGGGCTTTCGACCGAGACACAGCCACAGGAGAAGACTGTGGCCTCCGTGCCCAGGCCAGGCTCCGGGCCTCCGTCCAGATTCAGGGCTGGGTAGCCGTCATCCCCACAGCTGCAGGCCCAGGAGCACGGCCCCTCTGCGCCCACCACGGTCACTGTGTCGATGGACACCAAGCCGTACGGCCGGTCTCTCTCCTGACTGTAAATGGAGTCACCCAGGCTGCCAGCTGCTGATGGGGCTCGACCCCAGGAGCCCGGGTCCAGCACCCCGTCAGCCTCCAATGCATCTGTGGGCTCCGGCAGCTCTGTGGGCATTGGTCCTTTGGCTGGGCTCTGTGATGCGCAGTAGCTCCACACTTCCAAGGTGGAAGGCGGCCCTGGGGCTCCGGGTCGCAGCTCCAGGCTAGAGGCAGTGAAGGGTGCGCCCACCCATTTCTGTGGGAGAGAGACAGAGAGAGAATTGGGATGGGGTGGAGGTAGGGCATAGAGAGACAACGACAGAGAGAGACACAGAGATACAGAGACAATACAGAGAAGACAAGCAGAAAAGAGACACGGAGAGAGACAAAAACACATCAGAAGACAGAGAGATGAGTCAGGACCACGATATGCCCCCTGCAGAGGTGATGTCCACCACTGTCCCTGCCCCAGTTGGGGCCTGGTTTTCCCACCTGTGGCATGGAGCAATGGCCCGCAGTAGCCTGCCTGCCTCAACCACCTGTGGCTCCGTGGCCTGGGGTCTGTGTGGTACAGAGCCCAGATCCCCGAGTGCGGGTCACAGAGCAGGTGGGCCTGAGGTCTCAGTGCTCCGTGTTTCCTTTCCTTGGTGACACTCTTGACAAGCTTCTCCCATGTATGGTCCCCATGTACGGTCGCCGGGCCCGGGCAGCAGCTCAGCTCTCTCCTCACTTCATCTCCCCAGAGGCACACACAGTACCTGTGTTGTCTCTGTAGCCCTATGTCTGTTTCTGTCGTTGGCCTCAGTGGACACCACCCACCCCACCCTGACCCTCTCTCTCAAATGGCAAACTGTGTGGAAAGGACTGTGTACACCTTGCAGATAAAGGTGATGCTAGGGTCCTGAGGCACAGAGGCCCCTACTTGAAGGACCCTCCTTCTCCCATCATGATGCAAGAGTCTCTGTCCAGTCAGCAGAGAAAAACCCCTGAGAACCGACATCTCTCATGTTGCATCTTCCCCCCTCAGAAAGCACATCTTAGAACTCAGCAACAGGGCTGCCAGCATGGATTTGAAGTCACTCCTCAGCTGTGTGGCCTTGGGTTAGTTCCCTACCCTCTCTGTGCTGCAGTTTCCTCATATGTAAAATGAGCCTAATAACAGTAGCCTCCCCATCAGGTTGTCGTGAGGATTAGATGATTAGATGAGCTGATATGTGGGAAGATCCGAGAGCAGAGCCTAACCACACAGCAAAGTAATTATAAATAACATGCTGTTAGCACTTCAGGCAAAGGCAGAGGATAGAAGAAAAGATCGGCGTCCCTCCCACATGGATCGGGTCCAGGGCCTTCCCTGCCCTGATGAAGTGCCTTCTCTCTCTGAGCTCAGGCTCCCCTTCAGTCTGCCCACCCTGCAGGGCTGCTATGGGCACGAGGGCCTGGAGGGCGGGGAGGCCCAGGGCCCCTAGCACAGCCCCAGCCGACTGCAGGCGCTCATCCCCGTTTCCGGGCTTCCAGGCAGGGCCTGGAGAAGGCGGGGCTGCTCTTCCCTCACCACCACATCCTCTCTGCGGCGGCCTGTCCCATCCCCGCGAGTGGGTGAGAGCCGGAAATGGGCACAGATAACCCTGTGGGTGCAGCGGGTGGCAGCGGTGGCTGGGGCCTAGGAGGTGGGTGTGTTTTTCGGGTGAGGTCGTACCCTTCTCAGAACCCTCTTCCTTTCCACCCCCGCCCCCAGTATCAAAAGCATCAAAGAAGAACCAGGAGGCCATCTGTGGCCCCGGGGTCGGGGAGGAAGGCTCTCAGGACCACCATCATACCCCTCCCCCAGAGTGGCTCCTTGGGGTGGGGAAGGATGGGTGATCTGGTGTCAGGCACACTCCGCCCCCAGGAACGAGTCCCTCCACTGTGGAGCAGGTGGGAGACCCAGCTCTTATGCTAGGCCTGGCTGGGCCCTGCCCAGCCTTCAGGGTGAGGCCGGTCCACCCTCTCCTGGGGTGATGGTGGAGAAGGGCTCCAGAGGCAGGGAAAGGCTGGGGTCAGGGGTTCTCACCTTGAAGTCCCCCCTGTGACCCTCGTACAGTGGCTGAAAGAACTGCTCTGGGCTGGGTACCTGTACCCACACCTTCTTCCACAGCCTGGGGGAGCAGAGAGACTGGTGAGGACCCCACATGCCCTCCTGCAGAAGCTTCCCCCAGCTCTATCCCGAGTCGCAGCCCAAGCACTGCCCCTCCCTCCCCGAGCCTCAGTTTCTACGTCTGTAAGATGGGTTGGAGAGCCTCCCTCACAGGCTGCTGAAGAGGCATCGAATTGAAGGGCTCAGCCAGCTATTCAGTGTTGGGCAAATGTTGCCCTTTGGGACCCCCAACCTCCTCTTCACCAGCTGGGGATGGCCAAGTGCCAAGCCCAGAGGGCAGCAGTAGGGTGCAGAGTGAAAGCAGCACCCAGCACCAGCACACCACAGAATCAGTCCGTCAGTACCAGTCTCTCCCGCCCTGAGCCTCTCCTGCCTTTGTCTTATTCCCTGCAGGAAGGTGAGCAAAGGGGTCACTGCCTGCCAGGCCCTGCCTGGGGCCTGCCACTTAGTGAGGACTCGGAAAACGACAACCAGGAGACTTAGTGCGACCAGCAGCACCGGGCAAGGCCAGTGGGGTCGAAAATGCACTTGCCATCAGCGGCCTCCGGTGACAACCTTCAGCAGAAACCCCAAATATGAAACAGTTGAAAGCAAAATGGCTCTGGTTGAAGCAGAAGGGGTGGGTGGGGCTGGATAATCCCACCAACCCCTCCCCCACCTGGTCCCCTTCCAACCCTGGGTGTGTGTGTGGGGGCAGGGGTGGTGTCACAGCAAGGCGACCTGACTCCTGGCCTCACCTCCAAGGCAGGTGGTACCTCAGGCCCAAGAAGACAAGGAGAGGGGCTGCAATGATGAGGAGCAAAAGGCCAGGGTGCTGTCCTCCGGTCCCTCCCTCTGGGTCTGGGAAAGAAGCATATGGGGCAGGTGTGGGGAAAAAAATCGGCTGGGGTGGGGTGCAAAGGGGTGGGGAGGCTACTACAGATGGGTGGGGCCTTGAAGTGAGATGGATCTGGGCTCACCCCCACCCCAGAGAAGGGACTTCATCTCTCTGAGCCTCAGTATCCTCGTCTATATAATGGGGGCAATGACACCCCCCCACACACAGAGTTATTAGGAGGATCAAGTGCCCTGGTAGAAGCACCTAGCACCCAACACAGGGCCTGGCAAGCAGGGGCTCCAGAAATGTGGCCAAATTGCAGAGAAGATGGTTGTACTGGCCGCGGCCCAGTGAAAACCTCCCAGCCGAACAGAAATCACAGGGCTGGGTGGCTGGACTGAGGCCAGACTGGTACTAGGATGGGATGTCCACCCCGTTGTCACACCTACCCTTGGGCTGGGTCTGAAAGATGGCTGGGTCACTCCACTCGCTCCAGGTCCCTCGGAAGGAAGAGCCAGGCTGTGGCCCTGCCCGTACCTGCACCTCATAGCTCGAGCCTTTGTGGAACTCCAGGGCAAGGAGGGAGATGTGTGTTGAGTCCACGGAGACCAGCTTTCTCCTTGGGCTCTGCCAGCAGCGGAAAGGATGCATGGGGTCCAGGTTCAGTCGGGCCAGCCCCCTGCCCGCAGCACACCCACCTCCACCAGCCCAGGTCAGAGGGTGAGTTTCTCCTGCAGAGCCCTTTATCTCCCCAAGAGAACCAGGCCCCACCCAAGTCTGGCCACTGAAGTGTGGACGATGTAGGTTTCTTGACACTGCCTTGGCCTCCCCTGTGACACAAAGTTGTGTTCTGTTCCCCCTTAATCCTAACCCATCCCTGGAAGCTCTGGCAGGGGACCTCTCTGCTGGGCCTGGGAATGTTGTAGAAGGGGCAACGAATATGCCTAAAAATCTTTAACTGGAAAGTTCTAAAGAGTGGACTCTTGGGGATTCTTTAATGGCAGACATTCTCAATAGTGAGTGTTTCTGGAGGTCTTCTACTTTAGATATCTGAGCAATAGTTCCTCCGGCCTCCTCACACCAGGGACATTCTGAACAACAGCCGCCACAAACCATTCAAAACGATGAGTGACTCTCGCATTTTCAGTGACAAATAGTTTAAATCCTGGGCGATCTTGGAGCCCCAAAAGGTCAAAGAAAGGACCCTTCCAGAAGCCTTCCCATGAAACAATGGGCCCTCTAACAGTAGACAGTTTTAATTACTGATGCTTCTGGAACTTCTCAACTGTGGTCATTCCAGGGAAGTGGGGAGGTTCCAGATAGCCCGGTCACATCAGAAACGCCCATCGTTAGGACTGTCCTAGGCCTGAGGTAGGAGCTCTGGTGGCATAGTGGCTAAAGCACTTGACTGCTAACCAGAAGGCTGGCGGTTCAA